TAATTCATGAAAAATATAAAGTCATCTTCCAAAGTCATCAAGACTGTACTTCATGAGAGGAATACTACTAATCTCTAAACTCCAGAAAGGAGTGGAACGTCACTGCAATGAATAGAAATTTTGTGAAAGAGAATGCTGCCTTATAGGATGACTAATGTCACTCACACAAGATGACCAGGAATAAATATCTGTGACATGTCCATTTCAGTCTTTCATGGGAACCTGACTTTTAATTACTGCAGGATTAATGCAGTACTCAACTGTAATACAGTATCCCGTCTTCAACTTTGTTTCAGTAACTTTGTTTATTATTTTATATCTTATCTGCCAAACTCAAACATAATTAAAAGTTTCTATTTGTTCAGAAAAAATATTAAATCTTAAAAAATCTCCTTGTAGCTAAAAGAAAATTAGAACTAATATATATTTGTAAACCTTTCCTGAAAGGGTAACTTATAAATTTATAGTTGGGATATTGATTTTTCATATCATGTAATTCCCATTCCTAAATTAACAGCACTGTATAGCTCGTGAGCTGGAGATGGGATCAACAAATTCTTGAATGAGTACTGATTTTCCTATTCTGTTACTGGATAAAACTTTTAACTCTTCAAACTGTTTTCAGTTGTTGAATAGACTAAGTTTACTTTTTGTTTCTCTTGACATTTTGTGACTCCCCCACCCCCCACCGTTTTTTGGAATTGTTAGAATTAAGGAAAGGAAGTCATATCAAGTTGTCAATGACCAGAAGAAATAAATTGTTTTCATCATTTAAGTTAAGTAGACTTATTACCTGAAGTGATAAATGAAATACAAACACCTGGAGGCTGGTATACAATTATGCAAACTGTGTTAGGTCACTTCAGTGCTTCACTTATTAATTATATATATATATGTATGTGCACACATATATATATATATCTTGACATGCATATATGTGTACACACATATGTATATATCTTGCTATTAATTTTTATCAATGAGTGGTTATAAAAACCACTGAAACAGAAGGAATTTCTAATTCTTTAGAAATTACTTTCAGAGCACTATCCAAATATATTTGAAAACTCAGATTAAATGAGTAATTTCCTATGGAAATACAGTTAACAAAAATTAGCCTCCCTTAAAGGTAGAAAGCTTAAATAGACAAATTTCTTTCTTTCTTTTTTTTTTTTTTGAGACGGAGCCTCAAGCTGTCCCCCTGGGTAGAGTGCCATAGCATCACGCTCACAGCAACCTCCAACTCCTGGGCTCAAGCGAGTCTCCTGCCTCAGCATCCCAAGTAGCTGGGACTACAGGCACCCGCCACAGCGCCTGGCCATTTTTTGGTTGCAGCCATCATTGTTGTTTGGCGGGCCCAGGCTGGGGATTCGAACCCGCCACCTTAGGTGTATGTGGCTGGCGCCTTAGCTGCTTGAGCCACAGGCGCCGAGCCAATAGACAAATTTCTATGCAAGAAGAAATAAACTATTAAGGAACTATCCTTTAAAATTTAATTAAGCCCATGTGGTTTCAGGGAGAATTCTATCATACCTTTGAAGACCAGACCATCCCAGCACTCCACAAATTATTCAAGAACATTGAAAATGAGGGAAAATTTTGTAATTCTTGAAGCCGGAGTAACATTGTTATCATTTATAATAATAGAACAGAAAAAAGAACAATTACAGACCAATATCGCTTATGTATACAAATGCAAACTAGATATATATTGGTAAACAGAATCCAATATCATTTTAAGAAAGTAATAGAACATGGTAAATGAAGGATTTATTCCTAGAATGCAATATTCAGTATTGCACAATTCAGTATTGCACGGTTCAGTATTGGACAATCCATTAATATAATACACTATATTAATATTTCTAAGACACATACATGAATATCTTCATAAGTGGCTAAAGAGCCTCTGACAAAATTCAATAGCCATTCAACATGAAGTAGGAACTGATATTTGTTTTCTGTATAAACACAGATTTATGTCACTTTACTCAATGTAGAAACACCAGAGGTATTTCTACTCAAACTGGAAAAAGGCAAGGATGCTTAACTTTCTGTATTTCTTTTTCACATTGAAAATATTGGGAAAAGCAATTAAATAAGATAAATCAATTATAGACATTAAAGTTGGAAAATAAGGTATAAAACTATATTTGCAGGTGATGTGATAGTATCCACCTGGAAAATTCTGGTGAAGCAATCATTAAACAAATCCATCAGAAGTTTCTTAAGGTAGTGATAGTGGGATATAAAATTAACACAGGAATCAACGTCCTTAGTATCTACCACCTTTTAGAAAACAAAACAATACTCTTTTACCATATGTATATATGTGGTATATATACATATATAGTATTTGTTTTAGTAAGAGTGTGCTATATAAGTGAGCAGACTTGTGTCTTAATGGGGTAACATAAGTTGGATTACCTAATTTTGAGATCTATATATCCTAAAATATTGACACTTTAAAAAGTGGTTTGTCATCTCTATAATTTACATTATCTTTTAATTTTGAAATGGTTTCAATAGAATTATTTTCAAAGATATGAATCATTTTTCTATTTTAGGAAGGCAAAATGCTTCTTCTTTGGAAAAATTCTTTAATATTGGTCTTATGATCCTTTATCAAAATTAATAAGCATTGTTATAATATAATTAAAGCCACAATTTATTTTTATCTTACAAATGTCCTCTAAGTGTGTGAGACAAATTGAACTTTTATTTGCTTTTGATGAATATTTAATTAGACCTTAAAGGTAAGAGAAATGCTGAATTTCCCAACTCTTATTCTTTTAGTGTGAATATCTACTTAGTATAATAATCATAAAACGATTATTTGTATTTAATTTTCCAATTTACAAAATACTTTTAATACAATATTTTATTAAGTCTTTGCTGGAATACTTGGAGGCAGGGATTACTAGTAGTAATATTTAATATGAGAAAAAATAGTCTGGAAAGTTTGGTTTGGCTGAGGTCACTGGGCTTATCTATATACAGCTGGGGATCTCATTGCCCTTTTTCTTCCCTATTGCACAAAATGTGCTATAATGTGCTAATTGTTTCATATATACTTCCCGTTCACATTCACATACTGTGATTTTCAGTGGTAGCTTGGACTTTAAGACCATTTGTTTAAAAAAATCTCATTGGGTTTTATTACAAAATACAAATATTTTATTGGAATGGACAGTGATAGCAGTAAAGGACATTTAGTAGTCTAGTGAGGTGGTGAAATAAATACACAGGCACAAAAGACTGTAAAAAATTATATATGGAGTGGGGTGATTTTATTAACATAAATTTATGTTATTATTTAAATATATATGGAAAATTCAGGGAATTATGCCAAGTTAGTTACAACAGGACAAATACTTTGTGATTTTGCTCACACGAGGTCCCCAGAGTTGTTAAATCCATAGAGACAGAAAGTGGAATGGGGGTCAGGGGGTGGGAAGTGGAATGGGGAGTTGGTGTTTAATGGGGACAGAGTTTCTGTTTGGTAAGATGATGGTGGTGATGGCTACCTAGCAGTGTGAATGTGTATAACACTACTGAATTGTGCCCTAAAAACAGTTCAGATAGTGAATTTTATCTTATGTGTATTTTACTGCAAATAAAAAAAAAAAAAGGTTTCCAACTATTTTGCAAACATAGATTTGTGATACACCTAGTTTTTTAATGTTATTTTTTTTTTACTAAGAATACACATATTTTTTAAGTAAATCACACATTTTAAAGTAAATCAACATTTTCAAAAATATCTTTTGCACATTTCCAAGTCCACACAGGGCATCTTTCTCTTCCACTGAAAGTTACATCAAGGTTTTACCTTGACTGCACACGGTTTGGAGATGGGTAATGTAACATGAACACATACATGTTTTGTGTTAAGAACTGCAAAAAGTTTCAGGAAACTTATGCTGATACTTTTCATGGGAAAATGAGGAGTATGTAAAATATATGCATCATAAACCCATGACATCTGAATTTGCACTCAAGGAGCGCAGACATTTATGAGGACTCTGAGGGGAGGAAGGGCACTCCAGACAGATGGAACAGGCTGTGCAAAAAGATGGTGGGGACAGTGGGGAGGGAGGGTGGCCACTCAGTTAGGGTGGGCAAGTGATGGAGGAGGTGGCTGCCAGCACAGCCAACACTCTGAGGGGCCAGGAGCACCCAGGAGGGCACTTGGGATATAGCAAGGTCACTCTGATACCAGTGTGAGGGGCAGACGGGAGAGAAACAAACCAGAGGCAGGATCAGGCTGTTGGGATCCTGGGCACAGGGAAGGTAGAGCTCAGAGGCAATGAGGCTGTAGTGACACTGAAAGCCATGTAGTGAGAATGAGATGGAGTCAGGAAGGCTGGGGCAGACAGGACACAGCTGGTCTGCTTGGTTTGGGTCCTGCCTGACCTTCACCCCCTCTCTCCCATTCTTACTGTTTTGTAAAATTAAAATTAGCTCCCACCAGAAAGATGCCTTTCTTGAGTAGTTTAGGTAGATTGATTTAGGAGATTAAGTTTTGAACTGGAATATTGTAATAGGTCACTGGGGTATGCTGATTATTATTTGGTATAGAGGTTGGTGTAGTCTTTGCTTTGAACTTTTATGTATAAAACCGCAATTTAGGAAATGGAAGAACAGAACAGTCTTAGAGAGGCTACTCTCACTGTTCTCCAGAATCCCAGCCTTCTGACAAAGTTTGGTGGGCCTGTTCCCATCTCTGCATATTGTCTGACACTGACAGGAGGCTGGAATGTCTTCATCTAGTAACAACAGTGAGACTTTTGACCTCGTTGATATTTTAACAAATAATATCTCATTATAAGCAGAGAGTGTTAAAAATAAAAACAAATAATGGAGTAAGAAACAACTAGGTAGCAAAGTAAGAATTTTAAAATCCTCAGTAACTGCTAATATATAATTCAAGAAAATATTCAGTGTCTTCTATGATATAAACATGTTTTTCTTTTTAATATTTGAAAGAAAATTCTTACCTAAGTTCTTGAAATGGGTCTGCCGTGACAAGGGGTGTCTCCACTGAATGTTCAAAAAGAGCTCCTTCAGGCCCTAAACAAAACCCAAAGATGTGTCAGGAACAGAGAAAAATAAATGGTGCCAAACAGATGGAAGTTTTAGCCTCTAGATTAAAGTACACACAGATTTTGGTCTTTGTTGATGGATTTGTATAGATAATTGAGAAGCCAGGAGAAAACATGTGTGTAACTGCTTCCGTGCTGTTCTGCACATACTGTGTTTTACTAGGTTCCTATCAATAAAATATGATTTTCAAAACAATTGCAAATCAGCAGACGTATTTTAGAACTAGAGAGCAATATCAGCCCTAAATTGTAAAAGAAAAAAGTCCTGAAAATTGCATATATCCCTATATTTTAGGTAATAGTACTTTGGCTAATTCTCTAGATATTATGTGTAAACACTAAATCTTGTGCCATGTGTTTCTAAGGTACATTAGGAATTCAAAATTTTTAAGTATTTAAAATGGCCCTTCTACTTCCTAGGAATTGGGACATTGCCAGTGATTTCATTTGAGAACCTAATTGCAGTATATGCCAGGCCCTGTGTCAGCTGAGGGACAGGTACACACAGGACAAGGTGACATGCTCTTTGATGTATCCTGACTTGTTCAATACTCAGAACTCTGCTCTTCAGATAATAGTTTCCCATTTTACTCATGAGGAAACTGAGGAACAGAACAGGTAGATAACTCATCTAGGATTACACAGTTGAGAAGTGGCAGGGCTTTAACTTGAATTTAGAAGTACACTTTAAATTTACATGTCAGAGAGTTTCGCATCTACAAATAACAAACAATATATGGTAGAAGGTAATGTGCCAGTAACAAAGTGCAACTGAATTAATTTGAGGGTCACCCTCAGAGAATAATTACTTTACGGCAGCCATGAAGATGGTATAATAAAATGCAGTGGGTCTGAACTTTCCAATAAATATGCATTTGTGAACATATGAAGGGTGTAGGCAAGGATCTAAAAACAGTAGCAGCTCTAGGGCAGGAAAATGTGCTGAATATATAGCAATGGAAGAATAATCCAGTTCACTGAAAATGTATAGGATTCCACTAGGAAGTACAAATTTATCTTTCATGTCATATTTAAAATAATTCTCCCCTTGAATTTTTATCAGCACACACTCAGATTTAAGTAGCACCACATCACTATGTGCACGCATCCTGATTCACCCAGGTTGGTTGTGCTTATCTGAGGACTCACTCCTGGTTTAGGGGCTCCAGCATGCAAATAATTTGTTTCTCTCTTTGGTTCCACAAAGATGTTGAGACTTATCCTTACACTGTGAAGATGTTCCTCTTTGGAAATTCAGACGGTTCCTGAATTGCAATGGATCAGCTTTGCTGTGGGTTCCTTGAGATGTAACCCCACTGCAAATCCAGCAGCATCTCTACTGACACAATTAAAATATTTGTTTTCCAACCTACCCTTGTACTAGTTCTGGTATTAGACTAAAAGAAAAAGTTGCCTGAGTGAAAGGTCCTCAGATACTTGGTTGAGAAATGTGGATTGTAGGCAAAAAGGTCTTGTCAGAAGTCCTTCCTAATTTAACTCTTCACACACCCTCACATTCTCTCCACAATATTACTAACTGCATTGGCTTTTTAACTATAATTACTCCTTTTATAGTAGTTTTATTTAAATGTGAAGACTGTATCGAAAGCCCTATTTAAGAAATAATATCTGGTAGCACCTAAGTCAAGAAGACTTAAACCAGTACAAAATGAAAATTTTAAATTATGGGCAGATTTAGTAAAATAATTTACATAAAAATATAATAAAGTAAAACAGAAGAACACATGTAAGTGAAAGTTCATTAAATTATACTTATGCAAATCATATTTGCTATGATTCATTGAAATTATACTTCTGCAAATCATATTCAGATAGGAAACAGACCTTCATGCATGCTGCACCAAGTTACATCTAAAAACACTACTTAAGCAAACTGAAACAATAATGAGGCCCATTATGCACTGGAATTTCCACAATAAACCGTGCCAGTCAAATTTTACAATAGAGAACACTTTCTGTTTGGCAAAAAGCAGCAAATAATTTAGCAGACTAATTTGTATGGTATGTGTTTCCCATTTATTTTGTCCTTTCCTCCTTTTCCTGATTTGCAAAATATAAAAGAAAATGTAAAGAGAAATACAGCTCAAGTCAACTATTAGGAAGGCAAGTAGAGACATGCTAAGCATAGTTTTCCAATGTAAGTAGATTTGCTGTGGTTTACTTAGCAGCATTGTTTGAAACACTAGTGCTTTGGTATGTTGAACCTAGTGTGAGCTCTATCCCTCATTGAAAAATAATAGTTTCTTGCCATAGGTAAGATAATGGAGACAAAAGGAATGTATACTATAAATTTTATGTAATTATTTTCTCTATTTCTATATAAAAATGATATGATGGCTGAGAAAAACAGTGTCAACACATTTTAGTCTCTATAACATATATCCTTTGTAAACCAAAGCTAGAAATTGCATTGTAGAAATTGCAATGTATTCCAGTTGCATACGCAGATATCTTATTTGAGCTCAGTGCCTAAGTCAAAATAAAGATGGAGGTGAATCTCTAAATGTTTTATTTGAGAATCACAGAATTGCAATTAAGGACATACATACAGACCTGGGTGGCCTTCCATATGACCAAGGAACATAGAGAAAATTGAAGGAGTCTTATTAGAAAGAGAAATGTTATTTTTTGTTTTGAATAAAAGCACACTGGCACTAGAGAGGCTTTGGGGAGCTGGGTGAGTGACAGTAGCAGGTCATTTCAGCAGCTACCAGATAAAACTGGTCTCAGGGTGACAGCAGGCTACTTCAGCAGGTGGGCCTGTGGAACACTCAGTGTTGGAGCAGGAGCTACATACCCCAAGTGCTTTTTCCACCATGCCCATTAGATTTGGTTTAATTGGTTGTGACAAGAGTGACCAATTTGTATAATCAACTTTCACAATGGCTTTAATAATTTTTCTACTAAGAGCTGAGATTACTCAAAGTGTTTCTCAGTGGCCCTGTTTTACAGAGACATATAATTTAATAATTAGTTTTTAAATTCATATCAATTACCTTTTCCTAAGACATAATTAGTGCTATTATGTTATACCATGTCATCATGGTAATATACTTATAGGCAAATACCAAATCTACAACCAACATTGATTATCTTTAAATAAGAAAATCCATTTCTTTATCATTGGAAATATAAACACACATTTTTAGAATCTTGATTAAATCATTACTATTCACCCTCACAGTAAATACTCCTCAGAACCTATTTGCATATAATAAAATGGATTATCCTAAAGGGTTTCATAAAATGATTCTTAGTAAATGGTTCTTGATCTTCAACCTAATTGCATTTTCTTTATGTTTGTACTCATGTTTAAATATTCCTAACCAAGATGATATAAAAACTGGCATAACACCTATTCCTTGTGTAAAATAGGACCATTAGTTGGGGTTGTATAGATTAATTTTTAGACAGGGGAAAAGTTTAATTATATAATATCATTATATAAATCCTGCATTAAAATAACCCTGAATAATATGCATTATCTATACAGAAAAGTATGACCAAAAAGTAAAATAAAAGACAGACTAGTCTTATGTTTATTTTAATTTTTTTAGATTATATCACTGACATTAAGACATTAATCTATTGATCTATTTATTTCTATTATGAAATAGTGGCATTTGAGTGACATCATTCTTCTCCCCTGGTTTCTTGAGTATTTTATGATGTTTGTTTGTTTGTTTGCCATCTTATGATGGCAGTTTTTGGCCAGGGCTGGGTTTGAACCTCCAGCATATGGGGCTGGTCCTCTACTCCTTTGAGGTACAGGCACTGCCCAGCATCTTATGATGAATGATACTTCTGTGGAGAGATCTGTAGTAAGTCTGTGGTACAAGGTGAACTGAGAAGGTGATGAAGGCAGTTGAAAAGTTCAAAGCTCATGGAATGGAGCCTGATAATCACGATGTTCTTGGTTTGAGTTTAACAACTGGATGGCAAATTATTCCAGGTAGTTCCATTCCTTCCCACATGCTGCTATTTTTAGTTTTCTTCAGTTGTAGAAATATATATGAGATCTGATAATTAAGTTCATGAACTTGCCAGTCTGTGCTTAGGTTGGCAGCACTGTACAAACAATGCGGTGAGGTTTCATAACCTTGGTATATCAGTGCTTCATACACAGCTGTGTTTGTGTCACCATGTGTCAATGTCTTGCTGAGTGTCGTTCATTATTGTTGTTATGTGTTTTTGTGTGTCATTGTGAGAACATTAGAGCTTGAATCAGAGGAATGAACAAACATTAAATTTCTTGGTAAACTTAGCAAGTGTGGAAGTGAAATCAAGAACATATTAGTCTATGTTTATGGGGATAATGCCATGAGGAAAATAATAGCTATGCAACAAATGGATTAAACATTTTTCTGAGGAGAGAGAAAATATCACTGATGAAGAGAGATTGGGGCAGGGAGGGGAAGGTGTAAGTACAAGCAGAATTGATGAAACCATTGCAACAATTTTTCAAATTGTGCATCACATTGGCAGCTAACTGTGAGAAGCATAGTAGACTAAATATTGATTGAGAAACAGGAACATCTTTTTTTTTAAAATTAAATCATAGCTGTGTACATTAATGCAATTGTGGGGTACAATGTGCTGGTTTTATATACAATTTAAAATATTTTCATCAAACAGGTTAACATAGCCCTCATGGAATTTTTCTTAGTTATTGTGTTAGACATTTGTATTCTACATTTAGTAAATTTCACATGCACCCTTCTAAGATGCACTGTAGCTGTAGTCCCACCAATTACCCTCCCTCCACCCATTACCCCCTCTCCCCATATGCTTGGGCTATAATTGGTTTCATAGTAGGGCTGAGTACATTGTATACTTTTTCTTGCATTCTTGAGATACTTTGCTAAGAAGAGTATGTTCTAGCTCCATCCATGTAAACATAAAAGAGGTAAAGTCTCCATCTTTCTTTAAAGCTGCATAATATTCCAT